GTCGTGCTATGGGTACAACCTTCCCTTACAACATTGGACTACAAACTGACGTGGCCATAGTTAAAAAAGGAAAAAAAAAACAATACAACAAAAATTTAAAAGCTGAAAATCGCCATTTCTCTCTCTCACACTTCTCCCCATTTCCCCCAAATCAAGGAGAAACCTCCTCCCTTCACTCTTTTGCCGATTTTCCTCCGATCGACAACGCCTCCGGCACAGTCCTCACATAAACCGAAAAGGCGCGACATCCTGTAAGCTACAACGCCTTCGAGTCTCTTATCTCATTCTCCGAAGCAGCTCGGTTTCATGTAAACTACGATAAGTTCTGATTTTTTTGAAACTGAAGTATGTTGGGTCTAAATGGCAGGCTTAGATGTTAGTTTTAGCTTTTTGTTTGAAGATTTTTGGATTTTTGACAGTAAGCATAGTGGGTATAATTTTTCACAACACAATTTTAACATTGAAAGGAGATAACTGATTTATTGTTACTTGATTCTGAGCAATTTTTCCTGTCATACTTAGAGATGTAGAAAAAAGTAAAAAATGCTGTGATATTTCCGGATTTGAAGCTTGACCTGCATTTTTCCGGATTTGAAGCGTGAAATGAGAATGTTGATTTTGGAAGCTACTTTATTAATGTCTCAACATTCAGTGAAATTGTAAATTAGAATGAGCTTATTGTGAAATGAGAATGCTGATTTTGGAAGCTACTTCCAGTCATTGTGTATTAATTTCATACGGTTTTTATTCTATTATTATACTCTTAGAATGGCAGGAAAAAATTCAGGTATATGTCACGGTTGCAGGCGTAAGGGCCACTTCTTTGGAGAATGCCCGACGAAACGTAGATGCCCACGGTGTATGAAAGGTTTCCAAAAGTGTTTTGAGGTCGAAAGGGATACTTCTAACAAAGGAAAATTCTTCAAATGTTGTAGTGAGAAATGTGGATTTTAGAAGTGGTGCAACATTGGAGAATCAAGCAGTGAATCTAGCAACGTTAGTCATACTGAAATTGATGATATTTCCCACATGTTCCAATCTCAAGTTCGGGTTAAAGACCATGAAGAGATCCATATATCTCTGAACGTGACGATCTCTAAGAGAAAGTAAAGTGCCGAAGTAAACATGAACGGAAGGGGTTGGGTTGATTAGTGTCGATTGCTTTCTTAGCAATTTGTTTTTTCTCTATATGTATAAATAACTTATCCGAAGTAAACACGAACGGAAGGGGTTGGGTTGATTAGTGTCGATTGCTTTCTAAGCAATTTGTTTTTTCTCTATATGTATAAATAACTTAGATTACTCGTTCGTGTAAATTACTTTCTAGCTGTTTTAATGTGTAACGGATAATTAAACAATTTGATTTCGTTTTGTTAGACTTGTAAATTCCGGTCCATGTTAGCTACTTGTACTTGTTCATTTTTGTGGTGTATAACCAATGGTATTTATTCATCAAAATACATTTCGTACAAGTACTTCTTCATGTAGCAGTAGACAGCAGCTTCTGTTGGAAATCAAGATTCTTGAGAGACCACTTTTGTTGATGAACTAAAATGTTTAATGTATTTGCCTATTTAAAATGTTCTATATAATGCCAACACATATTTCAATTTGAGTACATTAAATAATTGAATTAAACAAGGCAACTAGCAACAAAGAAAACAAAGAAGAGAGTGTTGCAAAGCAAGGCAAAAAGTTTACTTGGGTGCGTAAAGAATTTTGAACTTTCCACATTTATACTAGTCGGGCTCGGGTGTAGATGGTGCTTCATTTGTTCATCAATTTTCCAACTACTAATTAACCATTGCAACATATATAAGAATCACTCTTCCCTACTTACAGTATTCTTGCTACCAAGTAAAAAAGATAAAATACCATCCACATTAATTGGAAGTTGTCATGGTAGAAAACATGTACACTGAAACTATGCAACTTCATCTTTAATTTATACATCATTCGAAAGACCAAACTGCAAGAAAATAACAAGTGAACTTGTACGCAATAAGCACTATATTTTTGCCTGACCAACAGTGCATTTTGGCATTTTTGAGGATGATGACTTCGAATTCATTCATTAACGTCATAAGCCCATACCTCCTTGATAGTAGTATGGATAAGGATGACCTAAAACACAAGAAGATTAATAAATACAATATAATAAATATAACATTGTCCTATAATAAATAACATTTTACCTTGAGGATTGAATATAAAGGTCGTTGACGACGGACGGATGAAAGTAGAAGACAGCAAGTGTTGTGTTAAGGAGTGACTTTCTTCATTGCCCTGTAATAAATAACGTTGTCTTTAACGAAAAATGAAAAAAAAAAACTCATGAAAATGCTTGTGGTATCCAAATTTTTCTGGCAACTTCTTCAAAATGTGCCACGAACACCACTATGCTTCGTATTCGGAAAAACAATCTGAATCGTATTTTGCATGGCCCTATCTTGATCAGTAATAATTCCATGTGGAGCATGACCGTGCATACACTTGAACCATGTTCTGAACAGCCACACAAATGTATCCATGTCTTCATTTGAGACCAAATCGCAACCAAGCAGTGTTGATTGTCCGTAATGATTCACACCAACAAAAGGGGCGAAGGGCATGTCATACCTATTAGTCAAGTAAGTGGTATCAAATGTGACGACGTCCCCGAACTCTTTATATGCTTCCCTAGATCGATTATCAACCCAAAATATATTCTTTAACCGTGAATCATCATCTAAATCCATACAAAAGTAAAATCTCCCACACCTTGCTTGCATATCTGAAAAATATGATTGAATTGTTGCTACATCTCCATCTCCAAGGCTTAATCACCTCACTTGTGCAATGTAGTTTCGACAATCCTTCTCCACGCAAGTCATATTTTCTTATCCACCCACTTCAACAACTGCAGAATTGAAACTTTTGTGCAACGGGATTCCTGCCATGTTATTGACTTCAAGCTTTCGTTTCACATGTGCACTCAGTTCTCGATTACATCGATATAACCTCGACTTTGTAGGACTTGTTTTATGATTGTGATCGAGGTGCATTGTGTTAATTTTCCAAATACCGTGATTATCTGCAGATGCAGAGATCCTGGCTTTACAACTTGTTTGAATTGTTGGCTGTGGCTTCAAAGAACCGCTTGTACTACGACTTCTTGCGCCTTCACGACTACATGTGAACGTCACATATCGCAAAACTCAATCATCATCCTTTCTCGAGTTCCTTTTCCTCACCGGAAAACCTAATTTGTAAGCATATCTTTTGTAAAAATCGAACACCTCTTTTTCATCATTGAACCGCATTCCTACCTCTGGTACAATTATATCATCTCCTAGTACTATTTCATTTTCAACTATATGCGTACCGGATTCCACATTCACATTTTCAGGCTCTTCCAAAAAATCATCTTCCATATCTTCCATCATTTATTCTCCTGTGATAAAATTTCAATTCAGTTTCAATAAAACATAAAAAATCTAGAATTTGGCATTTATGAAAAATAATGAGTTCAACATAGCAAACCATTTTCCCATGTACAATTTGATTAGCACGAATGAATTAAAATTACTTACTTTCGTTTATATATATTTTCGAATTCAGACACTTAACAATTACAATATTAACTGAAATTCACACAATCAAATTGAAGTCTGGCATAATTCAAAAACCACTCCAATTAAAGTTTCCTTGTACCGCTAATGCCTCACATTGTACAAGAAAAACCCAAGCTATTGCCATTGGCATCTCTTCAAAACGAATAATGGCAGTCAGGAAAGGAACTCGTGAAATTTCCAGCTATGTTTAACAACGAACTATTTTCACTGCCATTATTGGAGTCAGGAAAGAACTCGTACATTGTATAAGAAAGAACTTGTGAAACGAATAATGGCAGTCAGGAAAGTATTTTCACTGAACAAATGCAAACATACCTTCAAACAAGAAATTATGCCTCCAATGGAATTTACAAACTGTCGAAGCCGGACGTGAATTTACAAACTAGATGGATAATCGCCAATGCATGTCGACGGTAGTGCAGGGTTCTATTTCGGGGTAGATAAAATGGTAGTGCGGGGTTTTAATTGCCGGTGATGTTCGGGGAGAGAAAATGGACGGTAGTGGAGGGTGGGGTTTGATTTTGGGGGTGGGAGAAAATGGAGTGGAGTGCACGTGCACTGGTTTGGGGAGGGAAATTGGAGTTTGCCGCCCAAACTAATGGCTTCCTTTCCATTTTTATCTTTTCATCTCAACCATCCATTCCCATTTAATCTCCACCGTCCACGTCATGTTGTGAAGCAATGTTGTAAGCCAACATTGTACAACAAGATTTTTCCTAAAAAAAAACACACACACACATTTCCTCTTATTCCATGTCCCTAAGCCCCTGTTTGATGATCATTATTCTAGAAAAATGATGTTTTGAATAGTGATTTTTAAGAGAATGTGGTTAAAAAGTAGGAAATTTTTTAGGGTATACATATGATACTACCAAAAATTGTACGTGTTGATTTTTGAGTTTGATGACTAAAAATGAGTACAAACGAAATCTTTCGGTACCTGAAATAAAGGTGTCGAAGTGTTTTCTCGTTGCCCCTCCGATACTTAAGTTAGAGAGAATTTATTCGCTGGGCTAAGTGCTGAAAAATATATAAAAACGTACCTGAATAATGAATAGAAGTTTTGTATTTATAGAGGTAGGTAACTCATTCCTGGTAGGACTTGGTTATCTATGTGTCCTTATCCTTAGAAATCCTACCTTAAAATAAGCATTGGATTATAACTTTAAATCTAGTTACAGTTCATCTATAATCTTTTCCAAAATAGACTCCTCTTAGACATAGGAGTCTGGGATTGAAATATTTGGATAAGTTTAAAATTCTGATCAGATAGAGTCTGTCTACATCTAGGCGAGAAAGCATGTTAGGCAAAGGGAAGTATCCGAAGATATGTATTTCAAGGTATTATCTCGAGGACTGCTGTCGCCAAATTCCGTAAAAATAATAATGGATGTCCTTGAGCATCCTAGAGGACCACATGGGATCTCGAGGATGAGGCCTCTATCAGTCAGTAAGTATTGATGCTCGAGATTATAGTCCTCGAGCTCACGGTGTGACCATATCAATGTACATATTATTTTATTTTATAAATATGTGATTGAAAATGAACCTATAAAAAAAAAAGAAATTTTCAAATAATGACTGAAATGGGTTAAGAGCATGTTTGGTACAACCTAAAATCCAATTAAAATTGAAAATATAGCCGTTATTGGGTCCCGCTCGTCTAACAAAAGTCAACAATAACAGCTAGTTTTTCCATTTTAATCCGATTTTAATCTCTACCGAACACACCCTAAATTTGAAAATATCTTTTTTAGATGGAAACATTGTAGAATACAATATTAACACAATACTTAATGGATCATATCAAAAAAAAAAAAAAACACAATACTTAATGGAGGACCCACCACTAACATTGATGCGAAGAGGCGCTGAGTTATTTTATTCTCTACTCGGGCAAGCAGAGCAATTACGTGTCCATAAAGGATAGTGCCCGAGCTTTGAGTGGGAATGCTCAGTGCTGCCTTATCATTAACAAATTAAAATTTTCCCCCAGTTTTCATTATAAATCCAGTATTTTATACTGTTATAGACAGCAATTGGAAGAGAAACTGAAACTGATACTGGACCTGAAGCTGAAGCTGAAGCTGTGTTGGAAAATGGCTACTACGAATTATTGTTCAGGCCCTGTGCTGCATCGTTTGAATGCGATTTCCTGTTTCGGTTTTCCTTCTTCATCTACTGCTCGTATCTCCATTGCTAAGAAAAAAGGGTATTCATTCAGGTACTCATTTCCCCCATTCAACCCACCGTTAAATAAATGGAGTTGCTTTCTCCTTGATTAATTTGGTGCCATCCGTGTAGTTCTATATGTTAATTTTTCAAGCGCCATGTTTCTGTATGACTCTTTGTAGTATTTTGAATGAAGACAAAATGTTGAGCTACTGAATTTGATGGAGCTCTTGGGATTATGACTGGTGCTACTGCTATTGAATCTGCTGTTCTTGTTCTACAGACTAGAATCCACGGTGCATCAATAGATAGACTTATAGAATTGAACTTTACAGTGAGTTCTGGATTTGGATTAACAATTCCCTTTTTACTTTCCTCATAGATTCGATCCACATGATGAGGATCGAGCTATCTGGACCATTCCCAATGTAGCATCCGGCCAACATCTTAGTAGATGACTAGGGTCTCATAACCTATAAGAATTTTTTTTGGAGAGAAAAATAAAAGATGTATGTCATGTAACATTAATTAAGAGGGGCCACATTAGATTGCATTTCATAAATTTGCCTTTTAGTTTCTAATGCCACCAAAAATCGCACCTGGTGAATTCCGAACTTGACAACTGAGAATGAGCACGAACGAGGTCTTCTGGTACCTGAAACAAAGGTGTCGAGTTGTTTCCTCGTCGCCCCTCCAATGCTAAAGTCAGAAAGAGAATTTGCCAAGAAATATGTGCCGAAAATTATACGAAAAACGTGCAATCCTATCAGGACTTGGCATCTTTACTTTTAGGAATTATAATTGTGATAAGTGTTGGACCACAATCAGAAGTCTAATCATACATTAACTGCAATATCTTCCAAGAGAGACTCCTTCTGGACCTAGGATTCTTAAGTTGAGGTATTTCAATAGATTTAGGACTCCTGGAACGATGCCAATACCTAAGGATACTCTTTGAGTTTGGCCAAGGATACTCCTGTAACTTTAGTTATGAGGGTCATTAAGAAGTTTGTGTTTCAGTTGTATCCTCTTTTCCTTCCACTTTTATGCTTAGGTGTAAGTGATGAATGGCTGCTGGGAGGTTACACGATCGAGTGACTTTTGTGTAGTCACCAGTTAAATATTTGCATTGTTTGTCTTCCATTTTAACACTCGCTGAGCTTTCATATATTTTTCTGCGGTCCTAATGATATTAGCCCCTAGCATTTATCATCAGCGAGCCTTCATCTTTCTTCTTTTATTAAATTTGGACCCTAGAGTGATCTGTGTTAGTAGGACCCCATTTATGGGATGATATTTAAATATATTCCGTAATTATTATATATTCGTTTTCTTAGTTAGGCTTTCCATACTTAGTTAACCGAGATTGAAGTAATGACTGAAATTCAGTCTTGTAATTAGCCATACTCTTCCTATTTAATCAAAGCAACTCTCAAATGGAGAGGCATTCAAACCAAAACATCATTGTGTTTGACAATCTGGCATTCTTTCTTGCTCATCATTTTTCCCTATATCTATCTTTTCCAATAGATATTGCTCCGGTTCCATGTGACTTCACCATAAATAGGCACTGAACATACCAGACCCAATCTTGACCCATGATCTTAAGTTATTAGGCATTGTCCATCCAGAGAGATGAGCTCACTTTATGAACGCTTAAGTTATTAGGTGTTGTCCATCACAGAGATTAGCTCACTTTATGAACGCTTAAGTTATTAGGTGTTGTCCATCAGAGAGATGAGCGCGCTTTATGAACGTGGAACAATTTTTTCTCTAATCTTTGTAAGCTTATTCCTTTTGGTGGTTTGTTTTTATCAGACAACACGGTGGAAAGGTCTTTTTTTTTTTTTTAAGTTTCTTCTTTATTATTTTATGTTGAGAAATTCTATATTATTTGTACATCTTCTTAATAATATTATCCATATTTTTTAAAAGAAAAAACGATTTTTTTTTCCCTAGTTCCTTCACTTTCAACGTGAAGTGGGGAAATTGAAGGAATCAGTGGAATGAAGAGGTTTGTGACATGTCACTCAGGTCTATCGATCTTGTTGGTATTTCTCCTTGACATCGAATTTCAGTTTATTTTGAGTTAAAACTGAACTTTTCAGCCAATCATGATTAAAATGAAAAGGAAAGGCGTGTTGATTTTAATGTTTGTAGTTGTTTGGAGAGCAGATGGTTTAATACTAAGCAATTAATTCAAAGTTCATTTATGATGAAAATTTGATGAGTTGAAAATCCCTAGGTCACGTGGCTATATTTTTACTGAATACAGGTGCCAGTCATCCACAAATACTGATGAATCCAAAACAACAAAAACAATGAATCTATTAGACAATGCAAGCAACCTGCTGACTAATTTCTTAAGTGGAGGAAAGATTGGATCTATGCCTACAGCTGAAGGTGCAGTTTCTGATCTTTTCAGTCGGCCACTTTTCTTCTCCTTGTATGACTGGTTCCTAGAGGTACTTTACCGCAATCTTCGCTTTCTATGGTTGTAATAATCAGAGACCATTTTTCGATGTCGCTTGTACTTCTATCATCGTTGTTATATGTTCCAGTCACTAATGTGGCATCTAATTGGTCTTTTTGTTTGTTCATTGTGTTTTTGCGTGTTGACAAACTCTACTACAGGTGATTTTTTCATACTATATATTGTTTGACAGATCTATAAAACAATTTGAGAGAGGAAACCAAACCTCATTCTGCTTCATGCCAAAGTGATTGGCTTGAAGCCTGTTTTTATGTGTGTTCACATGGGCCACTCCCAAGTCCCCTGTCCTACCCTAATATATTTTCTCTTTTAGCCTGTGACCTAATAGAATGGTTTTCCATTTCACAAGGGATTTCCATTATGTCTGATTTCTTCTTGATTTTGAACTACACAGCATGGCTCTGTATATAAACTTGCTTTCGGGCCAAAAGCATTTGTTGTTGTATCAGATCCCATTGTCGCACGGCACGTTCTTCGTGAAAATGCATTTTCCTATGACAAGGTATGATCTGATTCTATAATCCTCTTCGTCTCTATTTTTTAAGATCTCGCAGTTATGAAAATTCTCTCTTGTCAATTTGTGAGGCTATGAAACATTATTGGCTTTTGAAGACTTGTTACATCTTGCTTTCATTCCCACGTTTTAAAGTACATTTGAATTATTCTATTCATATTTCAAAGTTTTAATTTATTCATCAATTTTTCTGGTTGAACCCTTCTTTGGTTTTTATTTTTTCAAAATCACTTTTCCTCAAAACTTATTTTCAATCACACATTCTCCTAATAAAATAATTTTCCACGTGGACCCATAACTTTTCCCTACTTTTTAACCACACATTTTCCAAAAAAATCATTTCTCATAAAATAAAAATCAAACAAGCGCTAAATTATTATTCTTTAAGCTGATTCAATGACACTGAAATTCAGAATCCTTTTGATCATAATGTACCGAGAATATAAATTTCTTTTCTATTTTGTGTCACAGGTTTTACAACCATGTGTACAACTGAAGTACACAAAAATAGGAAACTATTTCCTTAAATCTTACCTTAAAATTTGGCCTATTACCAGGAAACTAGATCTCTAAAATCTGTCCTGAAGAGTAGGAAAACTTCCTAATGTGCTTACATCAATTTTTTAGATCAGCAAATAATGTAAAAATTTTGACTTCCTGCTTAATTGGGATTCCTAACAAAGGTTCTCCTCAAGCTTGTGAATAGATTTTGTTCGCTCTGAGCTTGTAGGTGATCAACTCTCCCCCGAGTTCTGTTTATGCAGAACTAAACTGTGTATTGTGAATGTCTTCGAGGACTATTATGTTGCTATGCCATCCAATAGGCTATGTCGAAGTTGAGCGTGAAGGGTTGGCCCCTCACCTTATCTATCGAGAAATTAATGGGGATTCTAATGAGAACTATTAGAACTGTGATTAGATATGTATTTTACGAAAACAAAACTAGATTAGATTCATTTTGGTAATATTTTGGTATAGTTAGACTTATTAGAAGTTCATTAGGTTCGAAGTCTATACGGCTATAACATGGGAACTAGGTTTCAATTTGCATAGACTATTGCTTATTGAATATAGTATGAAAAATTTCCTCCTAAATTTCTCGTCTCTCCTAAGACTCTTCTGTTCTTCTCTTTCTTTTCCTTGTCTCTCGCTTTTTGTATTGCTATGTTTCTCCATAAATTAGTTTCCTATTTTTTGTGAATGTTTATTCTATAAAAGGTATAATATTTTTCATAAAGTAATAATAAAGTAGTGCCAATTCATGCACCTACAGATTTTTCATTTCTTTTATACAAATGAAATTTATAAAGTAAGTTAAAATGCAAAACAGAAACAGTATATGATATTGTTTTTCTTGAAGTATTCAGTCGCCACATTTTTATGTAGGGAGTTCTTGCTGATATATTAGAACCAATAATGGGAAAAGGACTCATACCTGCTGACCTTGAGACTTGGAAGCTGAGGAGAAGAGGTGAGCTAGTTTTGGATGTATAATATTTCATTTAAGTCGTTATAGTGGTTGGTGACATCTTATTTATATTGTAAATTGCAGTAACCCTAGCAATTTGTAGAATGATCTCGTAGGTTGTCTCATAATTTGTTGACATTATTATTGCACTTCACAAGATATATAAATTTGCTGTAGACTGAGGCTTAGTAGATGTTCTTAGTATATCTCTTCCTACCCTTGCTCAACAATTTTTTGTTTTCTGTTCGAGACCACAAGTTAATTTGATATATTTAAGTTACCGTAACTGGTTACTTCACATAGTTAATGAGAATAGTCTTCTCTGGTGTTGATCAATTTACTTTTCAGAAAAACCATTATTAATGGTTATATTCATGTAGCCTTCGGTATTACATTATACTTGAGCGAGAGGATTGGGACTATCCGAGTATTTGGTTCATTGAGTGTATCCTCACTGATGGTGAAATCTTGGATTTAAATCAATGTTCTAAAATGCGTAATGCGTTGCGAGGCGTCGAGGTCGAGAATCAAGAATCGCAAGTTTAAGCGTGTCAATGCGAAGAATAAGCGCTGTAATGCGTTTCGTATTTTTTATATTATTTTAATTATTTTTAAGACATTAAATATATTTTCATATAAAAAAAATAGATTTTTTACTATATCATAAAAAAAAAAATTACCTTAAAAAAAATTAAAGATAAAAACGGGATTTAGGCATTTTGGAACTAAATAAATAGCATGAGAACTTAAATATTATCTAACTATTTATTAATAACTATTTATTAATAAATAGGCCTTTAACAATTGGTCATTCTTTATAGGTTTTCCCACGACCCACTCCCAGTCCTTTTTAGAATTAGAAATGAATTGGGGTTCATCCTTTTTAGAATTAGAAATGAATTGAAATATTCTCTCTCCTCTTCATCACGTGGAGAAAGCTCAAAATCCGGGACGCAGCCTCTCTCTCCTTCATCTCTTTCTCTCTCCTTCATCACTGGACGCTCATCTTCCTGCCTGGGTCTGTCTTTGACTGGGCTTCAAAGGTGTGGCTGAGAATTCATGTGGAAGTGCCGTTTGCAGACTACCAAACCTTCCTTGGATATTGCTTCATTGGTCAGATTTGTTCCCATAAATTTCGTCGTAATTTTCCTGTAATTTTGTGTCAATTCATTGGGTTGAAATCCGAAAATAGCTTCCTTGTAATTTGGCGACGAATCTGCTGCTAACTTTGGGGAGTGATTCCGGCCAGAATACTTGATGAAATTGGAAGGTGTTGGTTGCTACTTGAAGATGGGATGGAGGGCTGTCCACCGGTACCAATGTCCGGTGGTTTTGGTGGCATTTGGTCGCTGGAATGTGGGCGAATTTTTGGGCAGTTTACTGGTGAGAGAAGTAGTTTTGGAAGGTCTGTAGTTGGAGGTTTAAAAATCCTATCCCACATCGGATGTAGACTAAATAAGTGGGAGAATAATTCTTTATAAAATGGTGGACCACTGAACTCACTAATTGGGCTTGTCTATGCAGTTGATGAGCCCATTAAAGGAGTTGACAAAAGGTTTTTTTTTAAGTCAATTGGGCTGGACCGCATTTTTACACGCATTGTGGGGATGCGATGCGTTTGGCCCACGCGTTGCGCCTGCTCGCGCCTACGCGGCGCATTAAGCCGCGTTTTAGAACACTGATTTAAATATTGCTTTAATGGTGCTTTTAGATTTTTGATTCAGAAGCACTTATCCTCTGTCAATTGATGTGATAACAGAAACTTTATTTGAGCTGTGAAACAGAAGTTTGACAAGATTATTAATTTGTGAAAAGGCATGTTTTTCTTCATAGCCTATATGGTGATTATTTTTAAGCTCATACATCCATATAGTTTCTCTAGAAGCTAAATATACCACTGAATTGTCTGGATCCTTGAAATAATCATTGATGCATTTGAGTTTCTTCCAAAATTTAATAATCACTAATATATTATAAAATTTAAAATTTGGAGGATCATAAGGCTTGTATTCAGTTCATAGAGCACTAGGGTGGGTTGGGGGTGGGGGTGAGGATAGAGAGGAAGCCTGACTGTCTAGTTTGTACACCTGAGTTTGCATGTGTGTAGAGTTCCAGTTTTCACTTCAATTGGTTCAACATTTTTAAATATCAGAAATGAAACAAAAAAAAAAAAAATCTGAAATTTTTCCACCTCTCTCTCTCTCTCTCTCTGAAGTTCTCTTTGTAGTTTCCTTTTTTCTCCTTAAGTAAATAATATGATGTATGGACAATTTTATCGAATTAATAACCATATAATGTACAGTTATTGCTCCTGGGTTTCATGCATTGTACTTGGAAGCCATGGCCAAAATATTTACTGACTGCAGTGAAAGAACGATGTTGAAATTTGAAAAGCTTTTGGAAGAAGAATATTCAAGAGGAGGAAGGACAATTGAGCTTGATCTGGAAGCTGAATTTTCTAGTTTGGCACTAGATATCATCGGGCTTGGTGTTTTTAATTATGACTTTGGTTCTGTTACAAAAGAATCCCCTGTGATTAAGGTTTGATTATATGATTCCCTTTTGTATTTTTTTTTAATTTTTTTCAGATGATCTTTTTTCTTTTGGTGTATGCTGATGTCTTATCCTCCCATTGAACTTTGAAATGAGGTCTTGGTTCCACATTACATATTCTAACAATTTTTAGGAATGCAGCAATTTACATGTTTTTACCCAAGATGATGTCAAAGACCATGTTTGAGCAATCAAGATTCTTTTTAAGTAGGGAGTGGAGGGGAGGTACCAATCCTTGAACCCTTGACCTTGGTTGTGGAAACAACAATCCTTTGAGACTTGCCCAGATAAATTCAGCTACTTTGTTTTGCGTATTTTTCTTATGCAAAATCTGTATGTTTTTTAGTTGGCCTTTTCTTTTCAACGTTAATGTTTCTTTTATTATCGTTCTTTGTTGCTCTATTAATTGGGGTTACACCACTTGCTGCTTCACTCTCCTTGAAAAGTGAGTTATTCCTCGAGTTTCACACCATACATACGAATTCAAAAATGTCCTCGTAAATATCAGTCTTAGGATGGAAATTTTCTGTGTAGCACTGTAATGACTCAGGTTCTAAAAGGCAGTGAAGTTTTGTAACCATCTTATTCAATTTTATGTATATTCTACTTCTGGCATTAATTAACATAATGCTGCTGACTACATTACGGAAATGTACAATTAGACAAGTGATTTATCCCATGAGTTTCATGCCAGGCATAAGAACTTGAAAAATTCTAATGAACATCAATTTTGAGAGAGAGATTTTCTATGCAGTACTTTGAATAATACATTGCACTTCCAAGGCACTATTATCGTAATACTTCTTCCTAAATCATGAAATGTGCGCCAAATCTTGTTTTCTTTTGTCAAAACATGGAAGTGCCATAGATTATCTACTATGAACCAGTTAATATCTCTGAAATGTTATGAGAACATGTGATCTAAAGTATCGTGGGTATGGTCAATAAGTTCTTACTATTGTTTGGATCTTTTCTCTTTGTTACATGCCATTGTGTTCTAAACTATCTTTCTATATCATACTATTGTTACATATCTTGAATTCAACTCAGTTAAAAGCTCGTTGGCGAGTTTACCAATTAATCTCATTCACTGTTGAAGCGATGCATATTTTCATGGTCGTCTTCCCCTCCCACTTTTTATGCTGGTTAGTTGCTCGTTACATACTAATTGTTCACCATTATCCATGTATTTGCAGGCTGTTTATGGTACTCTTTTTGAAGCTGAGCATCGTTCTACATTCTATATTCCTTACTGGAAAATTCCTCTTGCAACGTGGCTGGTTCCTCGGCAGAGAAAGTTCCAGAGTGACGTCAAGGTCATTAATGATTGTCTTGATGGCCTCATCAAAAATGCAAAAGAGACCAGAGAGGTGAGATCCATATACAGGTGGATGACCATTGTATTAGAGAAACCATACTGTTGTAACTTTTGCTGGTTTTGTATCGTTCAGTTCATGAATTGCTAAAAACATTCAAATATACAAAATTTGAAGTCAAATACTTATGCTATATTATAGCTATTGATATCTACTTCTATCAAAACATGAAGTCCATGCCTCCATGGAGCATCTGGCAATAATCTGTTGTCTTTGGAGGATGGGAACTGTGGATGGCATTTTATAGGTGATTTTCAATGCAAAAGGATTCCTTAGCGTCTACATAATTAAGCTTAAAATTTCATGAAGAAACTCAAATTTTACATAAATATTCCGAGGACGTGAAACTTATTTTTGTACAACTAGCCCATACTTCTTAAGGTTTGTCTATAATCAAATGTGTACTGAGTGTGTGTCTGTAATGATAAATACGACAGTGGGTAACCATAGCATCATGCTTCATTTTGACTGACAACTGAGCCTCTTTCTGAGCTTCAGCAGAAATGAGCAAAGAATTTTAGATTAGGGCATTCCATGATTCCGCTTGCTGCTTGCGTTTGACATTTGTTCTAGAAGTGATTGATGGTCTCTTCATTAATGCATGCATGACATAGTCATTATTCGGATCATTATTCACTGCCCACAGTTCTTATTTTATAAATTTTATGACAGGAAGCAGATGTCGAGAAACTCCAGCAAAGGGACTACTTAAATCTTAAGGCATGCAATATCCTATGCTTATAAAATTTCCTAATTTCATGTGTTATAGACATCGAATCTAGTTTGCACATTTGAAGCTTTTGACGACCAATAAAATTGAATTTCGGCACTGCAACTGAAAGTTTGTAGGATGCAAGTCTCTTACGTTTTCTTGTTGATATGAGAGGTGCTGACGCTGATGATCGTCAGGTAAAGAATCTCATGCCCTTCTTTTTGTGGAAAATATATTATTACCACCATAACTGCTTGTAAATTCCCCTTTGAATGAACAAACGGGTAATAGTTCTGTTCCATTAGGCATATGAGCAATTTTGAGACAATAAGGACCCATCTTTTATGTGAATGCTCATGTGATACTCATTATTAGATAGATTGTTTTTACCATTAATTATTATTGTAATTGATTGCTACCATATTTAGTTGTTATTTTGGTTTCTATATAATGAGAGAATCTCTCACATAGAGGGGTATCGAGTCTTTTATTGAGTATATTTGATAGTTTTTATATTTATTTTTTATGATTACCATTCTGAGATTGTTTCAGTTAATCCGTTTAACAGCTAAGAGATGACCTTATGACAATGCTTATAGCTGGACACGAAACAACTGCTGCTGTCCTTACTTGGGCTGTTTTCCTTCTTGCACAAGTATGGTTTTTTGTAGGTCCAAGTTCAATTCTAATAGATATGGACTGATAGGTCTTCATGTTCCCCACTTCCAGTACAAAATTAATGTATTATAAATTGCTCTAATGCAGCATCCCTCCAAAATGAAGAAAGCTCAAGCAGAGATTGACTCAGTCCTTGGTCAGGGGAGAACAACATTTGAATCAATCAAAAAATTAGTGTAAGTTGCAAAACTCTTAAACATTTTCTATTACTAGAACCAAATAGCCCTTTCTTTATACTTTTTTGTTTCTTTGATGAAGTAAAATTTGTTCACTGCAGTCATAGAGTTTATAAGATTATAATGCTTATAAGATCTTGCAAGGTTGACTTTGCTTATAAGCCAAAGAAAGCACTTTATATGTCTATATGCTCTTTGAAGAAAAGTTGGAGTGAGCCAACTTTTTTCTGTACTTGTTGTTGCACTTTCAGTTTGCCAAATAAGAACTAAGAGATCCTTAAGTCCAATAAGACATAATATTTAGTTCCTATAAACTCCTCTTATTCTAAACAGAATCCAGATGGACAAGAGAAGAGGTTTGTTGAAATTTGGCTTTGTAGTTGTTAAGGCGTCTCATCTTAAATACACTAGATTGCCATAGCTGTTGAAAAGAAAGTAAATTTAATTGAGATTGTCGGATCTTAATTTTTTATTCCATAATTTTCAGGTACCTGCGACTTATTGTTGTGGAGGCACTACGTTTATACCCACAGCCTCCATTGCTGATTAGGCGTTCCCTTAGATCAGATTGCTTACCAGGTAAAGTTTTTCTTACGAGAACTATGAAGATTTCATTTTTTGAGGTCACATAATACAATGCTTTTTTAAAAAAAAAAAAAAAGTAAAAAATAGAAATGAAGTCGGACTTGTGGATTTGGAGATTCGATTCTATAGTTAACTTGTGATATTGTGGATACTCTTCACAGTGACGATCTATTCAAATCGTACCATGTTTCTGTTCATTTTCTAGTGGATTCTTAGTTATGGTTTTTTTGGTACTTAAAATATCGTGGTTCAAGTTATGATCTGTACTTAAATTCATTTGTTCTTCCTGCATTATTCATTTTTCCATTTCCCTTGTGTGTATGCAAACATACTTTATATCTTTTAAATACAAAACAATCTGTCAGTATCAAATTTTCCTGTGCACTAGTGATCCGATGCTTTGACATAATTTGGTATTCAAAAAAGGTACTCAAGTGTTAGAAGCAGACGAGGCCTTGAAATTGTATTTCATATAAAAATTTCTTGCTAAACTCACTGTAGTATTAGATTACTAAACATCAGTAACATGTGCTGCAAATTCCAAATCTTCCATGCTGGTATACGAGTGGTTCACTGGACTAATTTTATTTGGTTTTCCACAGTTTCTACTCCCACCTTTAGTCTACTCTCCCACAGGAATGCAAGGAGTATAATTTACATTGTACTGGAAATTTGATGACTCCTATATGTCCAGGGTAGTTATTAGTTTAGCAGCCTTACCTTCCAAATGGTTAGATACTTTATTTTTTAACCAACATTCAGATGGAATAAAATAAATTCTTTGAGGAAGGTATAACAACATGAACTGGAGAAGTAAAAACGACAGTGGAGTTGATCATAGAACATAGAGGTTACGTGCAATGGAGATGTTATTAACTAATTCTGCACTGTAAATTATGAATATAGCATATAGTTCATTGTTAGGTTCCACTGGGATGTATGTACCTATCGTTTTACAACTGAAACAGAAGTGAGGACTTGGAATGCTCAAAACCATACAAAGGCAATGAACTGTGGCTGGTGTTTTATGTTTATGGTATCGAAGAAGTTAATTGGGATGCCTATTCGCCACTTTTGGTCATCCACTAGGTTTTCCGAAGAACTATTTATTCTAACTCAGACAAATCTTTTTTTTTCACATAAGAAGAAAAACTATGGCTGGTTTTTTATGTTTATGGTATCGAAGAAGTTAATTGAGATGCCCGTTCATCACTTTTGGTCATTCACTACGTTTTTCGAAGAGCTATTTATAACACATACAGATCTATTTTTATTTATTTTTTTATTTTTTATACATAGAAGAAAAATGTGTAGAACTTCTGTTTTGTCCTCTTCAATTTTCGAATGAGTCATGACGTTCTTGATTTATAGAGTGCCGGAATTAGAGGCCAGTGTATTCATGGTGTGAACTAGCGATTTCAGATATAATTTGTCTTTACTTGCATCAATACAAATCTAGGACATTATGCTCAGAAACAGAAGAGACCACAAAATGCAGAATGCTTGATTTGAACTTATTTTTAAGTTGTGGAGTCTAATTATTGTTGAGCCTAATTATTTCCACTTCGCGGAGCTGGCAGATAGATAATAAAGACTATTCGGTTTTGCCCTAATTTATCTTATAAATAGGGAGCTGTCTTAGGCTTTATTATTATCATGAGAGAGAGAGAGAGAGAGAGAGAGAGGAGTACGATTTTCTTTTGTAAATCTTTTTTTCATGAATTACTGCAACAGTGGGAAGGACGTACTTTCACATTAAGGCAAACCTCTAGATCTTGTGTGTTCTTGAGTGTTTATTTTTTTCTTTCTTCAAATCGATTGCTCTCGATGGAATAGAATTAAGTTTTATAATTCTCAACACTTATTTCTCTTTTTTATGACATTTAATTATTATTAATATTAATGTTCTCGACTGTGTGTACTCTCAGTATGCTCTAAACTAAATAGTTATACTTCTCTGCCATTTCTATCCGAGCTACTTGTTGGGAAATTTCAGAGTTCGAATTTCAAAACCACAATGTAATCAAACATTTACAAAACATAAAGAAACCATAGAAACTGAAAGCAGTAAATAAACCCTTTTCTTGTTTCCTTAACCGGCTAAAAAATAGGCTCAGGAACAACCCTTCCATGCCTTGCAAATCGCCATCCAGAGAGAGATAAACAATCAGCCAGAACCTCTCAACACTTGACTTGGGTCATCGATCCAAGGATATACCAAAAGCAGTCAAGATCAGAGCCCTAACACTGACCTAACTCTTGCGAGAAACCAACACCATTCAGCTACTATTTCAAACCTGAATATTACATAAAGTTCTCTCAACAACAGGCTAAAGAAGACAGTGACCGGATGAAGAAGAAGAGACGGACCAACAGCGAGAGAGAGAAGAGAAGTTTCAAGGAAGGAACCGACTGGAACTCAAAAGTCGAAGCCCAAGAGAAAATATCTCACAAGAATAAATTCCAACCGTCGATCTCATCCAAGGCCCACAATTAATTCTAAACTAGCACAATCCAAGTGACTACTTAGCTACCAATAAGTGGATGCCACTTAAGCAGCATAAGTAAAGAATAAATAACAATGTAAATGTCACAAATAGCACTAGTCCAATAGTGTTAGAGAACCACTAAAGCCCACA